CATGGGCATTGCATGACAAGGGTGCACTTACCTGCATGCAGGCAATACACACATACACATAAAATTTAAAAAATAATAATTAAAAAAAATACCTAGGATTAAGAAACCCCACGGCCAGGCCATAAATAGGAAATCTGTGATAATGTTGATAGTATGAGACCCATTCAGGTTTTAAAAAAATATTTATTTACGTATTTATGTGTTAGGTGTATGACTGTTTTGCTGTAGGCATGTAAATGCACCTAGTGTATGCAGTGCCATGGAGGCCACAGGAAGGTGTCACATCTCCTGGAACTGGAGTTACAAATAGTTGTTAGCTGCCATGTGAGTGCTGGGAACCAAATATGGGTCCTCTGCAAGAACAGCCAATGTTCTTAACCACTGAGCTATCCAGCCACCACTCAGATTTTTTTTTTTTAGACCAGGTTATCAAAACATAAATATAGTTGTTGCACTCTTGGTTAGAACTTTTGAAGTCAGGTAATGAAAGGACCCCAACATCTCTCTCCCACATCCTCTAGGGTTTCCATGTTTTCTTCATTATGCATCCTAACCCTTTGTAACTGTTAAGGTTTTAGTGCCTCCTCTCTTTTAGTGTAACAGTGTTCAAAGCCATGTTCTGACTCCTGGGAGGACAAAGAATTATTAACCATCCGTAGCCCTGTTTGGGCTTATAAAACATATACTACTTTTTGTATATAAAATCTCTGTAGCTAGGCATGCTTAGGCACACCTTCAATTCCAGCATTCAGAAGGCTAAGGCAAGAAGATTGCAAGTACTAGGCTAGCCTGGGCTACACAATGAAACTGTATCTCAAAATTATAATAGCAAAAATGACAACCATTTCCCTATTTGCAAAAGCAAAAAGAATTCTGTTGTGACTGGAGTTGCAATGAGCAAGAAAGTGGACTGGAGGCAGAAAGGTAGCCAGAGCCTTGTGAGCCAGGATGAGACAGCACTGAGAGTCAGTTTGGCTGTGCCAGAGACCAGAGCAGTCTGCTTTTCATGTTCCTTAGTAATCTTTCCTACAAAGAAATGTTCTTATCACTTAGCATATTTAACACTATTACTGAGAGTTTTAAACCTCCGGCTTTGTATTGACTTTATGAGAGAGTAATTATCTATCTCCCCTTTGATTTAGTTATTTAAGAGTTTTATGTGGAAGAATGAGTTTTCTTATCATGGAAGTGTGGAAATAAGAATAATGTACAGAAGAGTGAATAAGACTGAGCAGGAACAGGCTGCACACGTAGTATTGTAGGTATGCAGGTCTCCCAGAGGCAGAGGGTCTTCAGCCCACTCTCCACATGAAGAAGGTAGATTGTGTGTATATTTTTGGAACTGGAGACAGGATCTCTCCTTTAACCCAGCTAGACTGGCTAGCCAAGGAGCTCTGGGGATCTGCATGCCTTTGTGCCTCCTTCCTCCCAACCACCACCGGTAAAATTGCAGATGTGTGTTGTAACAATACCTAGCTTTTTACTTGGGTTCTGGAGATTCAAACTCGGGCTCTCATGCTTGTATGGCAGGCACTTTATTCACAGAGCCATCATCCCAGCACTGAAGGTAATGCTTTTTACAATAAGGACTTCACAGATGAGAGAAGGTAGCAGCTATTTGTAGTTTGGTTCTTTAATGCTTAGACATTCTAAAAAGGTCAAAGCTTTCTTATGCATTCCTGCTTTCAGATGTTTGTATTCACTTTGGGGTGATAAAGTACAAAGGTAACTGTCATATAGGGCAGCATTGTGGACTTTCAGACTTGGAGTAGAGACCATAGGAACTTAAAAGAGCAAATGTGGTGATGCTTTGTACTACTGGAAGACTTGGAAGGCTTCATGTAGTCTAGACTTCCATGGTGTTTGGAAATGAGAAGTCCCAATGTGGAGAACAGAGTCACAGATAATGTGAGTTTGAAAACTCAGAGGCAGGCCTAAGATGGCTCAATGTGGGAGGGTGCTTTGCACCAAGCCTCCTGGCTTGGGTTCAACCGCCGAATCCATATACTAGAAGAAGAGAGCCAACTCTGACAAGTTGATTTCTGACTTCCACATGTGTGCTATGGCATACTTCTCCCCCAAATAAATTAATAAATGTTTTAATTTTTTAAGAAAAAAAACCCAGAGACACTAAGTGCAGACCAGTTTAGAAGAGAAGGTTGGGGCCAAATGTTACCTTATGTAAAGGCTAAGGGAATAAGTCTTACAGCGAAAGCTTGAACTTACCAATTAGAGAGAGTTGCTGAATAACATTTGTTTACCCTTTTTTGCATTCTAAGCTGGTACTTAGCCTCTGAGCTTTATCTTTAGCCCTACTGTTTTGGTGTTTTTAGTTTGGATTTGATTTGTTTGGGGATCCAAAGCTCTCTTCTGGCCTCTTCAGATATTGCATGTACATGGTGCATCTACATACATGCAGACAAAACACAGAGCTAAAATAAACTAAAAAACAACAAATACATTCTACCTGAAATAAGTGTCTTTCTGAGTATAGATAAGCCTTCATCTCTGAACTTTTTTCCTTCTTCTTGTTTTACATTCTTATGGGTCTAAGTTCCAGATGCTGGACCCCCATATTTTACACGCTTCTGCCCACAGGAAAGGCCCTCCTTAGGGGATCCTTGGGCAGCCACCCGATCCTTGGGCAGCCACCCAGTCCCTGATTTTTTCCAGGTGGGGTGGAACTCCCAGCCAACCCGAGCTGTGATCTTTGAAGACTGTGCTGTCCCTGTGGCCAACAGGATTGGGAGTGAGGGGCAGGGCTTTCTCATCGCCATGAAAGGACTGAATGGCGGGAGGATCAATGTTGGTGAGGCCAGGAGGAGGTGGGGAGGGAGGGCAAGGACTGAGGCCAGCAACTGTCCTTCTGGCTCAGCTGTGAGGCCTTGATTCTTCCTCTCCAGCATCCTGCTCTCTGGGGGCTGCTCATGCTTCGGTTGTCCTCGCCCGAAACCATCTCAAGGTCAGGAAGCAGTTTGGAGCACCTCTGGCCAATAACCAGGTAAGGCCCCAGCTGTCTCTGCATCTGTATTATCAGAAGCTGCCCTAAGGCTCTGTTCTCTAGAAAAGGGGTAGGCTATGTTATCCTTCCAGGGGCTTGCCACCGTCTTAATCCAAACCTGTGCTTTACATGTGCCAATGACTTTTTTCAGGAGGTAGTAATACAAAATACAAGGAAACTAAATAACTTCTTTAGAACTGAGGATGTAGTAGCTTCTGTGTATAGGTGGCAGGAGACTTTGAAGCACTTAGAAGAGGCACCTCATTTGAGGGGTGTGTGTGTGTGTGTGTGTGTGTGTGTGTGTGTGTGTGTGTGCTCTCGTGCACATCAGAGGGTAACTCTTAGGAGTAGGTTCTCCTGCTGCTTATGGGATCTAGGGTTCAAACTCAGGTTGTACGAAGTGCCTCCACCTGCTGAGCCAGCTCACCAACCTAAGAAGTCTTCTTAGTCCAGATCAGTCCTAGACAGGCTTGTCTAAACTCTTGTGTCTTGTCTGGTTCCCTTCTCTCCTGTGGCTGCAGTGCACATCAGAGGGTAACTCTTAGGAGTAGGTTCTCCTGCTGCTTATGGGATCTAGGGTTCAAACTCAGGTTGTACGAAGTGCCTCCACCTGCTGAGCCAGCTCACCAACCTAAGAAGTCTTCTTAGTCCAGATCAGTCCTAGACAGGCTTGTCTAAACTCTTGTGTCTTGTCTGGTTCCCTTCTCTCCTGTGGCTGCAGTACCTGCAATTCCAGTTGGCAGATATGGCCACAAGGCTGGTTGCTTCAAGGATTCTGATCCGTACTGCAGCAGTGGCATTACAGGAGGAACGAGAAGATGCAGTGGCCCTGTGCTCCATGGCCAAGCTCTTTGCTACAGAAGAATGCTTTGCTGTAAGTGATGAGCTCCCTGGTCCTCCTGAGACAGACGGAGCAGCTGCTAGGCTCAGGGGTGTTGAGGGATATGTCAACTCTAGAACGCTACCCTCTTGTGGTGTTGAAGGAATCACTTTGAGGCCTAACAGTGTAAATTGACTTGGGAGAGGCCTGCATGAGAAGTCTTCCAGCTAGCCTTTTAGCCTGCTCTATTAAATGCTCCAGTATGGCTCTGTCTTTCTGATGCATTCTAGATTAGGTACATCTTTGCAAAATTCAAAGCAGCCCAATGCTCCTATCCCAAATTTAGCACTAATTGCCATGTTTAAGCTCTTTCCACATTGAGACTGTATTGCCACCAGGTGGCACCTGAGCTTCATAGAATACAGTCAGAGTGACTGTAAGCCAGCTTTGCCCCCAGGACAGAATAAATGAGAAAAGCCTAGGTTTGTACCTTATCTGAGTGATGGGAACTGACAGCCTTAGAGGTAGACTTCCTTTGTGATTGACCATTTATAATCTGGAACTTCTCTTTGGGGCTTGAGTGACTATCTGGTTATCTGTTCTTTCTCTGCCAAACTGAGGGTTGGGGTGGGGAGGGAAGTCGGGTAATCCACAGTCTTCCTGGGCATAAAAATATCCACTCCCTGTCTCCCAGCAGATCTGTAACTGGGCTTTGCAGATGCATGGGGGCTATGGCTACCTGAAGGATTATGCTGTTCAGCAGTATATGCGGGACTCTAGGGTCCATCAGATCCTAGAAGGTAAAACTTGCCAGAGGTTATTCTCTCCCATTTTGAATAGTTACAGGATCCATGCTTTCTCCAGCCTGTCTCAATACCTGTGCTGGCTACTCCTCGGGATCTTGCCAGGCTCTTCCTTTCTTGAACCCTGTTCAGGAAATGACCCGGTGCTGCATTAGGAAGATCATAGGCAGGGAGCCAGGAGACTGCTTTGTCCTCATAGCCACATTGTCTAAATGTTATCTGTATCAGTATTGTTAGTGTATTGTTCAGTAAGATTGTCAGTATGTGAGTTTCTTCTTTAGCTACAAGCATTCTATCAAAGAACCATGTGAGCTGTCAGTCAGGTACAGAACTGGGGTTCCACTCTGTAATCAGTGTAAGTCTGGAGGGGATCCTGTTCCAGCTGGTGTAGGCAGCTAGGGCTCTCATACTGCAAAAGTGCGTGGGACGCAGGCTTCTCTTGTGCCTTTTCAGTGAACAGTGTAGGAGTGCTGTAATGGGGTCAAAGAAGACCTTGAGCACTTGCCTCCCTACCCTCAGAGGATCCATGTTGTACCTGAGTGGGCACCCAGAATCTTCTGGAAGACTTACAGAAACAAATTGTTTGGTTCCACCCTCAGAGTTTCTGCTCCATTGGGCCAATAAAGGCAGTGGCTGCCAGTGAGGAAACCACACTTTGAACCCCACTGTCCTGTGTCTGAATTATTACTCTTTTTTTCTTTTAGACACAGTCTCACTATGTAGCCATGCCTGGCTTAGAGCTCCCTATGTAGAACGGATTGGCCTCAAACTCACAGAGATCTGCCTGCTTCTGCTTCTGAGTGCTATGGGATTAAAGGCATACACAATCATGCCCTGCCTGAATCATAATTCTAAAGGTCTTACTTTCCACTGCACACTTCAGCAATAACATGCTTATTTGGTTCAGTTCCTAACACTGAAATTAAGCTTCCCCGAGTTTTATGAGTGTGGGACATATCTTTTTGCTAAAGATTTTGTCTTTGCTATATTAAAAGCGAGAAAAGCCAGATTCATTTATTTCAGATCCCACCATCATCTACTTTAAAAGAATAGGAACACTGGCTGCTATTACTTTGTTTCATCATAGGCTACTGGATAACTATGAAAGCTTAGATTTGGCTTTACTAAGATTCTGTGATTATACATTCCTTAAGGGATTTACTTTATATTTTGCTTCATACTAAGGCTATGTTAAAAGTGAAACAAGCAATTGATCCCCTCCTTTCAGGGAAAATGCTTTACTTTATACATCAGTGTTCTGATTACCCAAAGAAATATATGTTGTTGAAAATATATAAAACATGTAAAAGATAAGAAAAAAAGTATCACTCATATTTCTACATCCAGGATTGCTCCTTGGTTACATTCTCCTTTGAGCCTCTTTCTATCCTCTTGCATGTACTGTTCGTTAAGAATTAGAGTTATATTATTTTGTTTTACCCTATTAAATTAGTAAACATTTTCATTATCAGAAGATAAACATTAGAGATGTATTAAAAAATGAAAATATTATCCCAGTGGACCACCAAGATGACTTAGTGGGTAAAGAAACATGTTGCCAAGCCTGACAACCTGAGTTCCATCCTTGGAACCCACATGGTGAAAGGAGAGAACCAGTCATGAAAGTTGCCTTCTGACTTCCCATGTATGCTGTGGCATGCATGCACCAACAGACACACACACACACACACACACACACACACACACACACACACACACCAAATAAATAAAAATAGAATTTTTTAAAAATTTAAAACATAAATATTGCTGGGTGTGGTAGTGTACACCTGTAATCTCAACACTCGGGAAATTGGAGGCAGTATAACCAAGAGTTCAAGGTCATCCTTAGAGACATAGCAATTCTGAGGTCAGCCTGAGCTACATGAGATACTGTCTCAAACAAAACAAAAGCAAATATAAATACTATTTCTTACTTCCTGTCATTTTTCTGTAATTACAAAGATAGAAGCAACAATTGTGTTTAAGTTCACGACTACCCTGTTCCTACTGAATTCATTGTTTTTCTTTCAGGTAGCAATGAAGTGATGAGGATACTGATCTCTCGAAACATGCTACAGGACTAGCACCCACACTGGAGAGTCTGGCCTGGTGTTCTGCATGCAGCTGCAGTCAGTGTTAAGTGCCTATGTGGGCTGTTCTGTTACAAATGGATCATGAAGAAGATTGAAGGGCTGAACTCTTCCAGTTTGGGGCTTAAACTGTTTGCTGACAGCAGTGTTGTTTCTAATACAGGAACAGAGTTCTTGGTAGAACTGGAAGAGCTGCCCTGATGAGTCATGTCACAAGAAGATCTGCCACCTTGTTTTTTCATTCTAGAAAGATAAACAGTGAATAGTTAGTACCAAAGTCTTACCTTGGATCCACATTCTCTGCATGTTGTTGATCCTGAGAGCCTGGGTATTTCAATGAAGTTTTTTTTTCTTGATTATAGAAGCAAAGTGCTGAGGTGAGGGCAGTGGTCAATGCTGTCTCTCTGTTCTGTTCTGTAGTGGCAGTGTCTCAGGACAGCTCTCCTGTGAACTTAAATCAAGGTGAAGTGAATATTGGGGAAACTACTACTAAGCTATTAGGGTTTAGGGTTCACCTTTACTTGGAATTTTGACTATTTGGTGGTGGATTTTTATATAGGTTTTGGTTTCCTCTTTTAGACTTGCTTCTCTTTTTAAGTATTTTTAATCATTGGCAAGTAAAATCTACCCCTTTCTGTACTGTCTACTTCAACTGAAGTTGGTTTTTATCTTTTTTTTTTTCTTTGATATTTTTGAGATAGGGTCTCCTGTAGCCCCAGCTGACCTGGAACTCACTATGTAGACCAGGCTGGCCTTGAACTCACAGTGATCCACCTGCCTCTGCCTCTGGAGTGCTGGGACTAAAGGCGTGCGCTACCACGTCTGGCTTGTTTTTTATCTTTTAAATAAGCCTTATAACTATATTAAAGATTTTTATATGTTCGAGTAAACATTTAACTAGATTCTGGAGTTATTAGGAATCTTTCCTAAGCCAATTTGTCTTTTAAAAAGCATATCCAAGGGCTGGAAAGATGACTTAGCGGTTAAGAACACTCGCTGTTCTTGCAGAGGACCCGGGTTTGGTTCCCAAATCCCACATGGCAGCCAACAACTGTGTTTTAGGGAATCTGACACCCCTTTTTGACCTCCACAGGCATTGCATGACATGAATGCACTTAACATACATGCAGACAATACATTCATACACATAAGATAAAAATAATAAATATTAAAAAATAAAAAGCATATCCTTTATTAATTTTGCAGACTAGACATTATTTATCATGTATGAAAGTCTATTTAGATATTATTCAGTGATTAGGGCTTTTGGGGAAACCCTGCTATAGGTGGTTATTATTTTACTCTATTTCGTCATGTCCATAAAAGAAAAATATGCAAGATATTTTGTTAATCACAAATCAGTGATTATTGAAAAAGGTATACTTCTGTAGCTATGACAATATTTTCTTTTTTGAATGCATACGTTGTGTCTGAAACTGTGTTGTGCACAGGGAGCAAGATGTGGCTACACTTCAAGGTTTAAAATGTGATTTTGCTGCCCATAGCTATATGTAACGGAAGCTGATAGAGTACTGCATGTATATTAGTTACTTTTCTGTTCTGATGAAAATACTATGACTCAAAGTGACTTATTGACGAGTTTATTTTGGCTTATTGTTCCCAAGGGAGAGTCCATAATAGTGGGGGAGACATGACAGCAGGCAGCCAGAGCAAGAAGCTAAGAGCTCACTTCTTGAACCCATACACAAAACATAGAGAACTGCATGTGACGTAAGGCTGTGAGCTTTCAAGGCCCACCCCAGTGATGAGCTTCCTTCAGCAAGACTACACCTCCTAAAGAGTCCAAGACCTCCCAAATGACACCACCAACTGGGGCCAAAGTATTCAAATACGTGAACCTATTTGGGCGGGGGGGCATTTCTCATCCGAACCACCACATGGTAACAGTGTCTTGTAAGACTGAAAGAGCAGGCTGGCTGAAGCAGTCAGGTAGGGAGAAGTCCACAGAGAAGGTAAAATTCAAATTACACTTTTCTGAAAATGTGTAGTATTTAAAGAAAATCAAACTGCATTTCAGTGAAGCAGAAGTCAAGACTGGGAAAAGTACAGGATTTGTGTGGGAAATACTTCTATTTATTGTGATTTGTTTGGAGATGGTGACACTTTTGTGTAGTATGGTTTGGGATTGGCATGGGCAGAAAAAAATCTGGATAGAAAATGGAAAAAGCCCAGGATAGAGTTTAATTTAGTAAACAGAAGAAACATGGATGGTTTTTATGGAGGAAGGTAGGATAAAATTAACCCATTCTTTTAAAAAGGTTTTCTTTTATTTGTGTGTGTATGTGTGTATGATGTACATGTGCAGAGATCACAGGAAAAATTTGGGGAGTCAGTTCTTACCTTCTACCATGAAGGGTTCTAGGACTCAAAACAGGTCATCAACCTTGCACTGTAAGCACTTTACCCACTGAGCCATCTTGCTGGCCCAAAATTAATCCATTCTTAAGAAAATTCTGAGTACATATGTAGGATCAATAAAGACAGAAGGTAAGGCATACTCAGTCTAATAGGGTTTGAAATAGTCAAAGTATGAGGGCATTCAAGCCCATATTTAGAAATAGAAACAGCAGATGTAAACTAATGAGCAGTATTTAGAATGTCCATTGAGGAACTTAAAGTTTTCTTTATTAGCTAGGCTGTTTTCTGGCATTTCTGAGGTTCCTATTATAACTCAAAGCACTGACAATGCTATATTAATGTCTTTGTTCCCTGGTGTGATTTAGATGAGATTATAGCTATTAAAAGATAAAAACTAGATATAATAGCTAACTCCTATTATTCCAGCACTCAGGAAGCTGAAGTAGGATGTTTGCCACGAGTTCAAATTAAACTGGACTACATACGAAATGAGACCCTATTTGAGAGCTGGCAATGTAGTTCAATGATAAAGCACTTTCCTAGTATGCAGGAGGTCCTGGGGTTCTCCAGTGCTGAGGGGTAGGAACATTCTTAGTTGTCACCTTCAAGTATTAGAAATTTCAGGTTCTCAATCACTTGGTAAAGAATTTTATACTTGTAGCAAGTAAACAGTGAACTCTTGGCTAATTTCTAGCATTTTTCATTTGCTATATCATAAATAAAAGCAAAAACCATACCAACATGCTCTGCTCTTTGAGAGACACTCCTGTGGTAGCCAGGTATATGGTAAGGAATTTATGTTAAAGTTTCAGGAAAATGTATCTCTGAAGGAACTTAGGTGAAGTTGTGGGTTGAATTGTATCCCCCAAATGAATTCTGAACACCTTGGAATGTAATCTAATTTGGCAGATATAATTAGTTAAGATGAGGTGATGCTACAGTAGGGTGATTCTTTCAGCCAGTATGACTGCCCTTCTGAGAAGACTGCCATGTAAAGGCATAAGTGCAAGAGCGCCATTTGAAGATGGAAGACAAAGTGTTGCAAGTTGTCACAAGAAGCTAGAAGCATAGAACTAATTGTTCCTGACAGCACTCAGAAAAACAAACTTTGTGGCATTCTGGTCTAGAACTCTAAGGAAATAAATATCTGTTGTTAACCACCCAGCAGCTGTGGTATTTTGCTATGGCAAACTGAACAGAGTAATATAGTCAGTGTCATGGAAATCTTGTAAAGCAATAATAGGATGGAGTGGTTGCTCAAAAATTAAGCAGACCAGGACTGACATATACCTTAGTGATATAGTGCTTGCCTAGTGTGCCATTTGTTCCATCCACAGCACCAAAATCATCATCATCATCATCATCATCATCATCACAGTGTATGAGCTGGAGAGATAGCTCAGTGGTTAAGAGCACTTGATGCTGTTGTAGAGCATCAGAGTTCAGCTCCCAGTACCCAAATCGTGACTCACAATTGTCTGCAACTCCAGTTCTAGGGGATCCAGTGTTCTCTTCTGGCTTCTACAAGCATTGCATGCATGTGGTATACATATATACATACATGTATACTCATACACATTAAATTGAACTTAAAAATCACGACATATTTCCCAATACTAGCAGTAAGCTGTTGAGAAAATTTTTTTATTTATTATTTTTATTTTATGTGTATGAGTTTATTGCCTGCATGTAGGTAAGTGCACCTGTGTCGTACAATCCCTGCGGCGGACAGAAGAGGCCATCAGATCCCCTGGAACTGGAGTTACAGACAGCTGTTAGCTGCCATGTGGGTGCTGGGATTCGAACCTGGGTCTTCTACAAGAACAACCAGTGTTCTTAACTGCTGAGCCATCTCTCCAGCCCCAAGAAAGTTTTAAAATGCCACATTGGTATCCCAAAATATTTATGCTTGGGTACAAATTAATTTAAAGCTATTCATGACCTCCCTACTGAAAATTACTAGATATTGCTAAGAAAAATTAAAATATACATGGGCAAAAATCTGTGTTGTTCTAGAAGTATGAAAATACAAAGGATCTAGGTGTGTCAGATTCTACTGCAGCTACTACCAAATATTCACTTTAAATACATACGTAGTGGAATAAAGTTGGAGATCTTTTTTTTCCTAACTAGTTTAGTTTATTGGGCTTGCTAACAGAGCATAGGGTGAGGATTTCAGAAGAGTGGGAGCCCCCCCCATTTATGGCTGTGCTGGAAAGTCCACACTCAAATATAGAGTCTGTGACTTCCCAATAGCCGCACAAAGTGGTGAGAGAGGTGCCTCATGACTTAATGTAAGGCTTATATATCCTTAGCCCCTCCCCCACATGCAGCTACGGTCGAATGATTGGGTGGGAGGGGTAACTGACTACCCCCTTAACTCCTTAGAAGGAGGTGTGACTATAGCTTGCTAGCATAGTGTACATAGTGTACATAATCAGAGGAAACTTCCAGTTAATACTCCACCCCTTCCTCCAGCTCTTACATTCTTTCTGCCAACCTCTTCCGCAACAGTCCCTGAGCCTCAGAAGGGGTGGTAAATGTGGGATGATCTTCCTCCCATTGTGTCAAGGCACTAAACTTTTGGGTCTCTGCATTGCCTGTTTTCCATGGGCCATTGGCCCATTTCAGTGGGATTCTATCTACTATAAAACACAAACAGCAAGAAGCAAGAACATCTGAACAGTGGCTGGTATAATAACTTATGGATGTAAACACAAATGCTTGGATGGTATTTAGCAGGTGAATCACATCCATCTAACAAAATAGTTGCAGTGACTTTCCACCAGGGCCTATATTTTCCCCTGCCACAGGGGGTTGGCCTGGTTTGCAGTACCAGATGTGTGTTCCACCCCCTAGGAGCAGGCATTATATTCAATAGAAAATTTGCTGGTTGTACATATATTAGATGCTCCACTGTTGTACTAGCAGGAACATCTTGTTTGGTATGGTAATAGTGCAACATGCGGGGTCCATCACTGAGCAGAATTATAGGGGACAATTCTCCCCCAGTCATCTGCATATCACCTGGCACCCTGAAAGCCACCTATCCAGTGGCAGGGAGTTTCCAGCTTAGTCCAAGCTTGATTTCTCCCTCTCCCTCACATCATGCAATGTCTTCAGCAATAGGGTTTTCCCGTCCACTTCCAGTGTACAACTGACATTACTGGCAATGACCTTCATTGTTTTGGGGACCTCTAGGGCCCCTCAGGCCAACAGCTCATAGGGAGCAACCCACCTCTGGCACTGGGATTTTCATTTAACAGCCATATTGCTTCTGGAAAGGCTTTTTTCCTCCCTCGTAGGGTTCCTTCTGTGCTTAAGGCTTTTTTTTTTTTAAACTGTGTGTCTGGAGAATTTTTTTTCCCATTTATTCTCATAGTTCTTTGTATAGCCCTCCTTCCCTCCTCCCCTTTAGCTACTCCCTTTTTATATATTTATCCCTCAGTATCACCTTTTGCTACTATTCTCTCTCTGGTTCCTTCTTTCCCTTTACCTCCTTGTTTGCCTTCCATATTCCTAGTCCCTGCAGTTGCATCAGGATATGCACTCACTTATAAGGATTTGGTGCTAGGAGCCACAAATGAGGGAGAACATACATCTTTTGTTTTTCAGAGTCTGTTACTTAGTATAACCGTTTCTAAATCCATCCATTTACCTCCAATTTTTATTATTTCAT